CGGGAGGCTGAGGCAGGAGGATCGCTTGAGCCCAGGAGTTTGAGGTTGCTGTGAGCTAGGCTGACGCCACGGCACTCACTCTAGCCAGGACAACACAGTTAGACTCTGTCTGAAAAAAAAAAAAGATGTTCTTGGCAGGGATTTTTGTGTAGCATTCTGAAGGACAAGGAAGAAAACATCAGGCAAACAAGGATGGAGGAGGGGAAGGGCATTCCACAAACAGAGAGAAGCAAGAGAAGAGATAAGGAAAGTGTCAAAATACTCAGTGTGTCCTAGGAAGGAAGAAGTTAGGTGTGGCTGGATTGCAGGTGAAGTAAGCAGGGCCAGGCTACACCAGGTTCCGCTGGCCTAAAGAGCCAGAACTTTCCTGAAGGTGGTAAGTGGTTGGGAAACTATTAAAGGTTTTAAGCAAGAACAGAGCTTGAGGTTTTTGTGTGTCATCACATAATGTGTTTTAGAAAGTTTCCTCTGGCATCACTGTGTAAGACAAACAGGAGAGAGATAACAGTGAGAAGGTTATTTCCAGAGGAAAAAATTAGGTCTGAACTAAGACAGCAGAAATGCCATTTGGGAGGTTGGGACAGCTCTAGAGAGATTTAGGAAATAGAATAGACAGGCCTTAGTGATTGATTGGATATAGAGGCTAATGGAGAGGAGGGACAGTCTAGACTCACTCCCAGTGTTCTGGCTGGGGCAACAGGGTAGGTGGTGGTGCCAGTTAGCCAAGAGAAACAATACATGGAGGGGAGCAGTTTCAGGAGGAATGTAATGAGTTCTATTTCAAACTTGTGGAAGGGGTGCCTATGTGACATCTGAGTGCAGCACCATGCAGACAGCCAGAAGGGGAGTTCCTAGGAGAGAAGATCCAAACAGGAAGGATGCATACGGAGTCATCAGCATGCAGGTGTTTTGCAAAGCCAGGAAGAGGAGGAAGACAGACAGGAAGAGAAGACTTAGGATGGAATGTGGCAGAACACCAATGTTTTAGGCATGGGTAGAGGAAGAGGACCCTGCCAAAGAAAAAGATGAAGACCACAGAGGAAGGAGCAGGGTTGATGAAGCCAAGGGAAGACAAGCCTGGTGATCAGGGTAAACTATGGAAGACACATCAAGACAACCAGACTGAAAAGCGATTGCTCCTCCTCACAAAATGTCTCTCTGACCTTGACCCAAGCAATTGTAGTCTATGTTGTAGGTGTAAAATCGCCATTAGGAAGAAACTGAGTCCTAATGATGTTAAAGTGATTTGTCATTAATACATCCAGCCAAATAATGACAGACGTGAGTCTGTCAAAAAGTTCTGTGGACCCTGTGAAGGATACTCTTATGAAAGTTCCAAAAAATATCTGTGTTTTGAGCACCACAGTTTGCAAATATCAATATACCCTGTCTTCTCAAAAAAGATATGCCCGTAGTAAAACCAATGGTATTGTGTATATTTATATTTTTAGATATGTAAGTATTTTCAGTGTGTCCTGAGAGACTTGGGCAACATGCCATATTAGATAGAGCATGCATCATTTAGCCAGACAGACTTGTATTTAATTCTAGACTCTGATAATTATTTGCTGTAGGACAAAACCTCTCTGAACATCGTTTTGTTTTTTTTTTTTCAAATATAAAAATGGAACAAATTATAGCTGACTTACAGATGTTTTGTGAGTATTGGGTAGCATAACACATTAAAGTGTTTGGAAGATATTTATTTACGTATATCTGAATTTACTTTTAAATTATGAAATTCATAAATATTCAGTAAACTGGGAAAAAAGTCCAAAACGATTATAAAATTAAGAGTATAATTTAAGTCTATTTAGGAGAACTCCTAATGCAAGCCTATGTCTTAAGTCAGTAGTC